TCTATCTATCTATCTATCTATCTATCTATCTATCTATCTATCTATCTCTCTCTCTATCTATCTATCTATCTCTCTCTCCCTTCCCGATACCTCTATTCGCCGAATAACCAGAAAACTATGTTTGCAGCACGACAAAATGTTATTCGTTGACAGGAAATTTCTATAACGGCCAGGGGTTGTTAAAGGCCTCCTCAAATCTGTCCATATTTTCATACTCTATTTTGCAAGCGAACAAAACCATTCATTTCTATTATAACGGTTGATTTAAGTAAAGACGGCGAGTTCATTTCGTTTACTTTTCAGCGAATGAAAACGTTGCATCCAGTGTAAAAACAATTCTATTAACAAACGCGCGGTTTGTCCGGATTCGTTTTGCCAGGGGATACTGTTTTCGTTGGATTTGTCGAGGTTCATCCCGTGTAATCGTTCGAAGCAAAATCGTGTTCTCTGCTCCGAAAATAATATATTTTATTAATCGAGACACATATACAATATTATAGACTGAAAGTAACTTGTACATTTTTGCTGATATTCAAACAAAAACCGAAACGAAAAGCTGTATATTTCCGTTCTGCATTAATTGTAATATTGGAATATATAAATACGATGTTCTGTTAAATCTTTGTTTAAATATCAACAAAAAAATGTAAATGCTACTTTGAGCCTATAATTACTCACACCACTGTACGTTGCTGGTCAGATTGTATGTGTGAGAAACCGAACTGATCGCATACTTTTTCTGACTAGAGTCGAAAATCTCAGAACTCGATGTTAGCTTGACCCAAGATTTTGTTACTTTTTCCATAAATGCGAAAAAAATGTATAATTCAGCAAATAGCACGGTCAAATAAATATAAATGTGACGAGTAATAGAATAATCAACGTTACGCGCTCCAATAGCAAATTTTAGGAACCAAACAAATTTATCATACTCTAATTTAACCCTCGCAAAGTGGTGGCTAGGTCAATTTTGGCCTATTTGAATCGTTCCCTTAATTACTCAATTTTCGGTAATTACATAAAATAAATTGCTGTTATATTAGGAACAACAAAAAGGCTACAAGAAATATCTACAAAAATATGTTTTGAAAAATTGCTGAATAAAGTTTAGAATATATTATAAACATCGTCATTGTGAAAATGGTTCGCTGTCCGAGAATTAAAATAATTTTTACATAACTGTATGCATTTCATGCGTGACCAAGTATGTGACATGCAGCGTTCTTGCTTCCAACCGCAAATTTCTTCGCTCAACCCTGTGGTTACAAGGAAAGAACGACGCGTGTCATAATTTCAAAAAATTAATTGATCTGTAGCATGTTGGATCTGCGTATTTTTCAGAAAAACATCGTGAAAACAAATTCTATAGGCTCGACAAAATTATGCAACTTGGAACACTACTGATACGAAGCATTAATGATTTACGAAACCCGTCGAAACGACGAGTAATTTTTTAACTTACGATTACAGTAAATTCTTCCCAATTTGCCTTCGGCTGTAAACAAAAATTGGGAAGCAATTTGAAAAGAGGAGATACGATTATTCGAACTTTGCACGCTGTTTTTATAATTGTTGACAATCAAGGCTCGAATAATCATATCCCCGCTTCCCAAATTGTCCATTTTTGCTTAAAACTTCCAGCAAAATTGGGGAGAATTTACTGCATTCAGATTGTAAAGATATATTTATGAGTTATTTATTCAATATACGTCAAAATTCAGAATAAATGTTGTATTATTATTAATTCAATATGTGTAAAAAATCAGAATAAATATCGTATTGTTATTTATTCAATACACGTCAAAAGTCAGAATAAATATCGTATTATTATTTATTCGACATGTATCAAAAGTCAGAATAAATATCTTATTGTTACTTCAATAAACTATTGTATTGTCGCAAAAGTAATGTCGGTTTTCCAAACACATAGCATAGAAAAATACCGAAATTACTTTTCCAACAACCCAGTAGTATAAAACAGCAGTTTCAACGCTCCGTAAATCTAGTGTCAAATAACGATGTCTCGGAAGTGAAAATATCTGGCTTGCGGCGTAGCCACAGAATTTTTCTCAAGCGTAGCCAAAGATGTTCCACAAATCAATAACAAGTGAGTCCCTATACAAAAACAAGTCCCCCGCCCCCCAACAAGCGATACATAAAACATCAGCGAGCATGAAACTCTCAACAGCGAACAGCTAAAAAAAAGAAAAAGATCAATTTCCCGAAAATACTCCGAACGGTGTCTTATCAATGACAACGCGTCGCGACGACCGTGAACGATCCGAACAGAGAAAAACCTGTCCGGGCGGGCACACCGAGCGACCAAACCGATTCAAAGGACGAACCTCACTGGATGCACACCGAGCGAAGACAGCGGCGCAGGGCCCCGGTGCAAAGTAAATCGGGAAACGGTCTCCAGGCGAACGGTCTCGAATATTCAGCACGTAGAGCATCGAGTAATTTCGGAGCAGGGCAACCCTCTATCGATAGGTGTTAATTTACTCACGGGGAAGCTCTCGAGGTTTTCACACTTTCGGCGAGTCTTCCATTAACACGGCCACAATCGAGTTATCGGCGGCGCGGAGGAGTTCCCGGGCGAAGCTCGCCGGAACTTGGATAGATACCCGGCCGCATCGGGTTTCGTCAGAGCGCGTCGATTCACAGAAACTTGCGAGGCGGAGCGTTTCGGCCGGACGCTCGGACAAAGCGGCACCGTTTCACCGTGGACAATGAGAAGCCGGCCGCGGTCGCGCGAGAAGATTCAAAAATCCAGAAAGCCAGCCGGAAGCGTCGTCGACGGCGGCGGCGAAGACGGCGAAGACGGCGAAGGCGAAGGCGGCGAGGAGAGGTCGGCTGGCCGCGGCATGTTTCGACAAAGGATTTATGGCAAACCTGCGACGTTGTCCCCGAAGAAATTGATCATATCTCAAGGGCTGGCGACGCGGGCCGAAGCGGTGCTCCGTGGTACCGGAAACTCCGTGGACATCCCGGCAAGGGATGAACTTCCGGTGTCCGGGGTTGGCTAGGCCTCTCTGCGGTGTCTCGCGCACGTGATCCACGGGAACGGGCCGACGACGGGGTGACGGCGGACGCGCACGCACGGACTGAGGGATGCCGGTAAACTGATCGGGATCCTGACGGCTCTCCTTCGCCGAGGAGGCCTCTCTTCCGTGCAGGATGAGGCGCGCAAGCCCGTCCGAGCGCAGGAGCGACGGCGGCACGCAACAGGCAGAGGGGGAGGGTCACAACTGCGGCCGAAGAGAATGGGACTAACGTGGGGTGCAGGAACTGTTGGAGAAAACGGCTGCTGGAGCAGGACAACAAGCTCGCGAGAGCAGCTTACGAGCGTGGAGATCGCTTTTTGGGACGAGAGTGGGTCCGCGTTACGGTGCTTATTATCTAATATCAACTATTAACTAATATCTTACTGGGATTTTTCAAAGTGGGCCCTCGTTTTTGAGGTATTACGATTTCAAATTTGCACGCGAGCATGTAGGTGATACGGTAAGTTCTACCTAATTGACGCTCAGATTGAGCGTAAAAATGAACAATTTGAGAAGAGGAGATACGATTATTCGAGCCTTGCGGCTAATAGTTAACGGATGTCGATAACTATAAAAACGAGCAGCAACGCTCCATTGATCGTACTTCCTCTTCCCAAATTATTCATTTTTGTTTCCAAGCTGAGCGTCAATTAGGGAAAATTTCGATTTCAAATTTGCACGCAATTATATGTATATAGGTGTTCACTTGGTGTTCACACAGGGTGTTCATTTGGAAACTTTCAATCCGAATATCTCGAAAACGACACATTTTCGGGGAAAATGTTAGATACGAAAGTTAATCGATTTGAGAAAAGAGTAAACTTCTGTAGGACACATTTTTTTAATCAGATATTATCTTAGAAAGATATTTGATAAAATGAAACGTTTGTTTTTTAGTTATGAAACTTCTTTATCGTTTAGTCTAATAAGAAACTTGATGATGCTACATCTTAGACTTGATATTATAGTATCCGACGTAGTTAGTAGACTGTTTATAACTAAATTATTAATCAAATAATATTAAAGTGACATTGGTAAGAAGTATTAGGAACATGAGTAAATAATATTGCAAATATAATATTACAAATACACTGGAAATACTAGTATATAATATTAGGAATATTAATAAATAATATCAGGAATATTCGTAAACGAAATCAGATAAATAACATTTGCAAATAATAGTAACATTAGTAAATAACCTGATCCGTTCAGGCAACTTATAGAAGTAGCTAAAGTTATAGAACTTTCGCAATAGCAGCTAGTAGCAGCCAATTTTGTTTTTAACAACAACGTAAGATTTAACTCTCTAAAATGCAACAAAAATTAACAATGCATATCACCGTATTAATAATAACAAAAAAAAATGGAAAGAATTCAATTAGGTATAATTCAAAAAGTCTCGGAGGCATGAAAGTGTAATTTGGTATAATTTAAGTATATATTAGGTAAACTTATTTCCACCGTTTATCATTTAATTAAAAAGAAACAAAGCACTTACAATCGGCGATTTTAATTTCAGACGATTTTCAGATCGGCTACTTCAAAGTCACATAGTCCTGTTCAAAACAGACAAACGTTAAAAGAGTCCATAACACGTTATATCCGATTGCCATATGTCTAATTAACTATTGGCCAAAATTTCCTTCGCAATAAGCATGCTTTTACAAAATGGCTTTTCGCCGCGTTTGGCGTGCGATTGTCCCATAGCGCGGCGCGACGTGAACAGAGACGGAGATCGAGAGAACGGCGGAGAGGAAGAGAGAAAAAGTTGCTGAAAGTATGAGAAAGGATGACGAGGATAATGAGATAGAGGAGGAAGAATGTGGGGAATGGCGACGACGATGATCGGGGACCTGGCTGGAAGCAAAGTTAGACCCGGAAAAAAATGCTAGGAAGAGTGATCGGGTAACTGAAACCGGCTGAAAGGACCCAGGGAAAATGGAACGACGCCACGGAAGCGTGCGAGAAAAAGTGAAAGAAATAATGAGGTTGGTGAAACGGGTTCGTGGGATCCGCGAGACCCCGGTGATGATGAAGATGACCGGTGGAGCTCCGTCGGAGCTCCGCGTTCCGAGGATTGCGCCGGGACGAGTGACCAGGTGACTAGTACCGTTGGATCAAGTTGGGGCTGGAGACATGGTAGCGGAGATGGTTGCTATTAGTGACTACACTGGAGGACTAAATTGTAAGACAGAGAATTATAGGGACATGGGTCTCGTGCTGTGTGTCGAACAGCATCCGAGTTATTTACAGGGCGGCCCTCGGGGAACTGACAGACAAAAATGTAAGGAGATAGATTTATTATTTATTTCGATTAATGTTACAAAAGCGTGGAAATTGACACTAGAAATACCGACGATTGACGTAAATTATTATTTAAATTCACAAGTCGTTCAAGTAAAGACATAACGTTTTATTCGTTTTTACATATTTTCCTATTTTATTAGCGAGAATTGATTATAAACTGAATAATAATAATAACGATAATTAGAGAGAACTTGGACTCCTTTTCTTTTTCTATGCAAACGGCGTGATCTTTCATCTTCACTGTCAGTTGTATAATGATGGATATTCATTTTCACGGTCTACTAAATCACTTTCATCATTTTCTTCAATTGAAGAATTATCTGCTCACGATAGGTGACTGAACCAACAATTCTAACGATTGTCGGTAAACACATCGAAACGTTATAGCTAAAGCTTATATAACAACAAATAAAACAAATGTAATTAATTGTAGTATCATTTAAGAAAATTAATGAAAGAATTAAAACATGGAAACACGTGTATACTTAATTCAAAGACTCACGGCTTTATCATTTCTTCCGAATCGCGATGAATCCTTTGGCGAGCAAGTTTCCGAAGACACATACCTCGAGAAAATACAAAATGGCATAGCACTCAACGCGTTAACTTCGGGAATGTTGCTAGGATAAATAATTGGATAGCCGAAGACATTGGGAAGGATACGGTGAAGTGGATCAGATAATGAAGTAAGTGGAGAAAGGAGGTGAAGAAGCATCGAAAGAACTTTGTCGGTGTTGTGGGTGCGCGAGTGCACGGATGTACAGGGAGAAAGGAAATCAAGTTTGTAGGGAAAAGTAAAGGTTAAGGGTTAATTCCAGCAAATAAAGTAAATGAACACAGCTGGCAAATTGAATTTCATACAAGCACAGAGAAAGAGAGGGAACGCTCCGAAACCAAAGATATGGATAAATAAAATAAAGCAATGGAATCTTTTTCTCTTGCTAAACATTTGGTAAATGTGATGACGATGATATTTGGCAGAGGAAAGTACGGGAGAAGAATTTAGCGGAAATAGCGAAAACAGATACTGCAAAAACGGCAGAATGAGAAGCAAACAATATAGGTGAGCAAACAGAATAAATGAATCTTCATTGTATTCTCATAACGCATAGAACATATTTGCAGTTGCGAGTAAAAGCATGTCTGATGGAAAACATGGAAAAGTATAATGAGGACGGGATTAACAAGCTATTGCAAGCCATAGCATTCTACTGGCAAATTATAGAAGCAACCAAACTTGCTACACGATAAACAGAGTAAAATATTGAAAACAAAGATATACATATTAACGCATTGATGGCCGCGCCGAAAACATCTCAAAATTTCATAGAATTAGAGTATTTGAATCAATTAAATTAAACTTAAAAAGCAAAGTTATGTGACATCGATTGCTATTTCAGCATTCTTACGTCTTGCGAATCTTAATAAAAATAAAAATATTTTTTTGGATTAGCAGAGAAATTAAATTTTAAATAATTTCGTCACCCGCATACGAGTGACGCGCCAATCAAAGTGTTAACGATAAATACAGCTATAGAATTACCAACGCGTTTAATAACTAAGACGACTATCGGACTAAAGACTCGATGAGTCCTGCGCGCGTAATATACATATTTAAAATTCATTTGACAGGTTCTACGGGGGCCTTGGGAAATCCGAAGAGAGTTGGGAGTCACGTCTTTAACACTAGAATTGCCGAGCACTAAAAATGACTACTTCCTTACGTATCGTCAAAATTACAACAGCAAATTTATATAACACTGTCCCTAATTTTTATTACGGTATTCATAAAACGGTTGGTGCATATGAAATGTCGGATTTTTAAACGAATAGTAAAAACTTCGTATCTTTACTTGAAAGATGTTCATTTAATCAAAATATGACTTATTCGGTTCGAGACACTTTTTCAACGAGTTTTTAATGTATAAATGCCATTTTTGCAGATCAAGGTAACGAAAACAGGGAGACAAACATTGAATAAAATTTGTCACATTGAAAAACATTATGTGCCAATTTAGTTCATAATGTCTTTATAATTTCAATAGTTCTAGTTAAAAAGAAAATTATTATAATATAAATTCGTTTGCCTTTTCTCTATCTGAAATTGTGTCTTTATAGCTATAATGAACGATTAAGAAATAAACAATATTAAAAAGAAATTTAAATAGTTCGTAATAATTTCGATGATGTTAAGAATTTGTCTCATGATTTCATTATAACTTTAAAAGGAAATTTTTCAATTTTTATTTAATATTAGTATTACTTCATTAATTCGTATATTAATAAGAACAGAAATATTTTAGTTTTATTCTGCGACGCACAGACTTGTTGCACAGAGTTGCAATGAACTGAATTATTTGCACACGCACGTCCCTTTGAAAATACATCGCAAGGCAAGATAGGTTAATAGTCACATTTTGGTTGATTTTGCAGCTGCTGCCAAGAAAAAGCACCGCTGTCTTATCAAGACTTTCGATTCCAGTCGAACCGAATGAAAACAGTAATCCGAAAACAGTCTTTCAACGAAGCATTGGTCATTTGTAAAAAAGCGCGAGGAGGAGCCAAAGAGAAGTAAGTTCGAACAAAGCGTGCCTCCGAGAGACGACGGAACCGAGCGCAAGAAACTTGAAATAAAGTAACTGTAAAAAAATGTGTGTGAACTCCAAGATAAAGGACGAAGGGTAAATAGGAAGTGGCGAGAAGCAAAGTAAAAGAGCGGAGGACGCGTTCGAGTCGGAAGGAAGGAAAGCTCGGGG